TTCTTTTTTTTTTTTTTTTGGTTGTTGTTTGTTTTTGAGACAGGGTCTCCATGTAGCACCGGCTAGACTGTAACTTACTATTATAGACCAGGCTGGCCTCGATGCCACAGAGATCTACGTGCCTCTGCCTCCCAAGTGCTGGGACTAAAAGGCATGTGCCACCTGAAGCTCATATTTTGGAGAGCATACTTTGTCAGTAGATTAGGAACCTCCTCATTCTTTTTAACAACTCCATAGTATTCCATTCTGTAGATGAATCATCCTTGATATTTGTCTTTTATTGATAGCCGTTTAGTCTTCCCAGCCTTTGCTATTTCAAGTAATGCTTCAGTTACTGGGAAGGCAAGCGTTGCCTTTAGTCTATTAGAGATCCGCAAGGACAGCCTTTTTCTCTCTTTTTTTCCCCATGCTGGGGATTGAACCAGGGCCTTGTGCTTGCTAGGCACAGCTCTATCACTAAGCTACAGCTACAGTCCCCACGCAAGGGGCTTTTTGATGGTCTTTTCCAGGTACAGTGCTTCGGCATATCAGAAATGGCTGCAGATATGACAGGAAGCTCTACTGTTCGATCACAGATTCCACGAGTGCCCACTTGTATTTCTGGCTCTTCCCCTCTCCACTTCTCTCTCCCGACCTCCACATCCCCCATCCCTGGCCTCCAGGCTGCTGGGCTTGGTTGCTGCACAGAGGAGACGAGATTACCGTGGGGCAGTGACCTCCCTGTTTCCCTGTTACCTCTTTTGAGTTCGACCTTCCACCTTCGTCGCTCCTGCAGCTGGCTCTTCACCAAAGATGGGGTTTCAGGGCGCACAGCTTCTTTTTTATTAAAAAATAAAGTGCTTTGTTTTAATGATAAAAGGATAAAGACGAAGGTAGGCATCACCTATGACCCCGCCTCCCAGAAGCAGCTGCTGGGTATCCTTTGGCAGGCAGATTCCCACACTGGCGAGGGAAATGTAAGGACGTGCAGGCTGGATCATCACATCCTCCGCACGTGCCAGTCAACACGACAAATCTTACAGACATTCCCATTTGTCATTAAAACCATTTGAACACATTTTAATGTTTTCATATGTATTTGTATGAAGCATAGTTGCATTTGCAGATTGGTTGGCACCATATTTTTGTTGTGGTTGTTGTGATAAAGTTGCTGGGACTATCTTTGTGCGGATTCATGCTTGGTTTGTCGGGACTCTGTTGGACCATGAGGCATCCTGACTGATCATTTGATACCTTCTCTCTGGGACAATTTTTTGCCTACAAATAGTATCCTTTCCTGCCTCCCACCCACCTCCTGCCAGTTGTTATTTTTGTGAGCTAGATAATGCTGCTTTGAAAGTGAACCAACTTTTCAAGTGTAAAACCTGGTCAAAAGGTGAGGGCAACAGACTTAACTATTAATGTTCTGTAAGATGTAAATATAATCTCTCAGTTTCTAAAATGACTTTGTGTGGAGTTTTTATGCTCTCATTTTATAGATGAGGAAACAGGCTCAGGAGGAACAATAATTCATTCAAGGTCACATTGCTAGTAAACAGCAGAGCCAGGATTTGAATTCAGGAGTTACTATGTTATTGTGGTCATTATATTCATTATTTTTATTTTCAGTGCTGGGGATCTAATCCATGAGCCACATCCCAAGTTTCTAGGTCTGCCTAACTTTAAAGCCCACTTGCACTAGAGAGATTTTTTTGAGCAATTAGTTTCAGAGCGATCAAAGTAGTGCTTTGCTGGTAAAACAGCTATTTAGAAAACAGTAAACTTGATTTGTAGTATTGCCAATTTCTGTGGTGTAAACAGTTCTGCCATAGTTAATTTCAAGCTGTCAATGGCTTAACAGTATATTTACAAACTTCTCCGATGTCCAACAACCAGTGCAAGCCAGTACAAATGGTTCCTTTGTACCACGTTGCCAACACGTGCTTGTGTTTTT